TATGTCAAGAGCTTTGTAAGGTTTTGAACAACCAATAAAAAAATAGGTGTTTGATATTAGATATATGAGCTAGATTACTACATAAAAATAAAATAACTATGATTTCTTTTGTCTGATATACATATATTAGAAAAGAGATGTAAGAATTTTAGTGGATACTCAATGCATTGATTAATCCTTGAATTCAGATTTTATTAAAATAAAGACTCCCATTTATGTTAAAAAAATTTTTTTTAATTTWAAAAAAAGTTATTCTGGAGATCTGAGGAGTATCAAAACTTAAATGCTTCAGCAACTCAATAAGACCCTGTCTCARAAAATAAAAAGGGGTAGGGATATGGCTCATTGGTAGAGTTCCCCTGTGTTCGATCCCCAGTACCCCCTACCACACACTCACACAAAACTGAGAACTGAGGTTGCAAGACAAACCACTGTCCCCCAAATTGAGAAGAGAGGTAGATACAGAGAATCACAGCACGGGAGAACAGAAAACATGAGCAGAAACCTGCAAAGAACTGATACCAGAGTGGAAACACCTGACTATAACTGAAAAAGTTCTGGAGCCTCAGTGTAAACAACTCTTTTGAGATTTAAAAACTCAACAGGCCCAGTCTTGGAGGTCATGCCCACATTTTTGTGAGTTTTACCTGTTGGAGCTTTACCAGATTCTCACAGTAAAACATCAGAGAAAAACTATCCAGCTTAAGGCAAGAGAAAAGTCACATTGTGGAATACCTCAGGGAATTCTGGGTTTTGTTTGTTTGCRGTCCTGGGAATTGAACCTGGGGCCCATGCCTGTTAGGCAACACTTTACCTCTGAGCTATATCACTAGTAAGAATTCTGTCTATACCAAGTTCTGCTTAATACCCTGTAAAAGTCAAGGCTAAAGGGAAAAGTTAAGGTAGCTGGAGAACTGTTGTYTCTTACCTTTTTGAGGACACTGTACATCATATTCTATCTTGTTAATGACTAGCTTAAAATCTTTCATTAGCAAAACATCCATCAAAGTTGAGGCTGGAATCTCATTGCCATCTGAAAGGGAAGGCATAACGCAAAAATAAGTTTTTGTTTTAGAACAACAAGAACCATTTCCCAACACACAAAAAACAACTCACTCAGGTTTTTACAATATAGTAGTGGACATCTGCCTTTTGGATGATGCCCCTAAACTCACACTATTGTCACTGAGGGAACTTCTCCTTTGCTTCAGCTCTCATTTCATAGAACCAAAAGAAACAAGCAGGTGCTCTTCTCCCACTGTACCAGCTGGATTGGAGCCCAGGTTAATGTCCTCGGTTGAAACTGTCTCAGCAAATTCATGCAAAGATTCAGGGGAGGTTGGAACTCTCAGCAGGACTGGGGAGGTAGAAGAGGCAATATCTAAAGGGTGTGTAGGGATTCAGCTTGATCTCCCTGTGGCCACCTTGAGGTACAGCCTCCACTTTGCTCCTGGGCAATCTTGGTCTGTTTTCCCCACATGTTTCCCACATGCTATAAATAGACAAAACCACTGGGTGTGGTGGCTCTTGATTCTATTCCCAGCTACCTGGGAAGCTGAAACAGGAGRATSGCAAATTTGAGGCCAGCCTTAGCAGTTTAGCAAGACAGCATCTCAAAATGAAAACTAAAAAGGGCTGGGGATGTGACTCAGAGCACTCCTAGGGTTGGAGGAGCTGTTAACAGCAGCAGGTGAAACCAATGAAAGATTTTCATATTCCTGAACATATACTAAAACCTTGATTTAAATCCTATTACAGGTGATCACCTACAGCTACCACATATTATCCTACTCCCTTTTCTACAGTCAATGTYGGTTCAACTTAAACAACTTAAACTTCCTCTCCAAATTTTTATTATAAAAGTATTCTTAGTTCCAGGCTCAGCAGACAACTTTCCAACCACTCTCTTAGCTTTACTGCTGGTACTTACAGAAATCTGTCCTAGGATCTGGTCCTTTTTTCTGGCAAGCATCTGCATCAACTTAATAAACACTTTTATTTTAGAAATCTCTTGGTCTCAAAAGTTTTTAGTTTAGCACTAGCCACATTTCAGAAAAAAATATCTTGGAAATTTTTAACCTCATGTGCTTTTGCACAGCTTCTCATATAGCCAATCTTTATTTTATTTTATTTTTTAACTAAGCTTTAGTGCAACTCAGRCGTTAAGAAAGCAAATTCATTGAGCAATAAGCAGAAAACTGGTGCTGGGTAGAGACTTCTCTTTCTAGCATTTTTTCCTACAGAAAAGTCCACATATACTACATTACATATAATAAAGTCCAGGAAAATGCTGGATGGATATTTTATCCTGGCCAGATGTTGGCTTGGCTGCATTCAACCACAACTATTTCAGCAACGTTAATATGTGTACCAGCACAAACGCTGCTAGTAAAATCAGGACGAACCTGATTGCCTGCTTCCTATCTGACTCTCTGTGGTTCTTTTGTTCTATAAGACAGCATGTCAAGTCTACACCTGGGTCTGTTTCTAGAATTTGGCTGTTTGGGTTCCTGTTCATCAGTTGGAGTGAGATCATTTTCCTAAGAATTGCCAAATAATGCAGCCCACACAATGGGCAAAACTGTGACAGGCTCAGAACACTCTTTTCAAGCCCAAATTAAACACAAGCAAATTCCACCCACAGAGTCTCTTAAAAAAAAAAAAAAGTAGCACGCTAATTGTTTTATCTGACTTTCCAAGTGTCATTTAAAAATTTATATCTAAATTTTACATTTAAACCAGTTTCTGAAAATATTACTATAAAAAGAAATCAACTGAATATGGTTTCTCAGATGAGTTACTACATTATCCTTTATGCAAACGTAAGACATCACAAGATTGACAAGAAACATTTTCAAGAAGCTAATGACAGTATTGAATTTTTYATATATTCTTGGGCACTATCCACTTAAATCTCCAATAATGTGTTTTCTCTAGATCCAAAGAGCCCCCTTTTCCTCAATCTCTTAGAGAAAAGTCTTAAAGTCTCTGCTTTCAAAGGTATTCAAATTAATTTCTGGAACAAATCAGGGTAAACATGGTTCATTATTTTTACCTCTCATTTCATTCATTTAGCAAATACTTATCAAGTACCTATCACCAGGTAAGCGCTGCTCYGAGCCAACCCCATCTGAGTTTTAGGTGTGCATCTGCCTGTCCCTGGAAGCTCAGGAAGGCAAGCCTACCCTGCAGGGWAAGCACGGGGACACCAGGGCTGGGGCTGGGCGGTTGGGGGAGTGGGTCTGTCTATATAGGAATGAAGTACTGAGAAGTTCACTGTGGCCACAAGGCTAAAAAACTTACTTTCTGATCCATGTTCTAGCAGGCAGAAAGCTCCCCATCCACTTAAATCTAAAGTCCTTACAACAACTGACAAGCCTTTCCCAACCCTTCTCCTTCCACCCAGCTCCCTCCTTAGAGCCATGGAGGAGTCTCCCCTTCAGAACTCTCCACTCATCTGCAAGGCTCCTCATCTGCCAGTYTTCACTCAGATATGACCTTGTGAGAGCCCCACTCTCCTGCACTCCCACCCCCTACTTTTCTCTCTCCATTACAATTATTTAGTATAATATATAATTTATTTATTTATGTTATTTCTTTCTTTTCCTAAAATGCAAGCTCCAAAGGGCAGGAGTTTTTAATTCTCTTGTTTTCTATCTCTAGCATCCAGAACAGTGCCTGGCCAACAAATATTTGTTGAATGAATAAATTCTTTAATCTCTATTTTTCTAACTTCTGTATCTATCCCTTAATTGGTTTTAAACTTAGATAAGAAAAATGTTCATTTTCTTTTAAAAACTGCAACAGTAATTTAATTTTTAAATAAGTTTACACTAAGCATTTAATATTATAATAAAACAGCCGCAAGCTAGGAGCAGTGGTGCATGTCTATTATCCCAGTTGCTCGTGAGGCTGAGGCAGGAGGGTGTTAAGTTCAAAGCCAGCCTCAGAAAAAGCAAGGCTTGGGGCTGGGGATGTGGCTCAAGCGGTAGCGCGCTTGCCTGCATGCGTGCAGCCCGGGTTCAATCCTCAGCACCACATACAAACAAAGATGTTGTGTCCGCCTAAAACTAAAAAATAAATATTAAAAAATTCTCTCTCTCTCTCTCTCTCTCTCTTTAAAAAAAGAAAAAGAAAAAGCAAGGCTCTAAGCAACTCAGTGAGACCCTGTCTCTAAACAAAACACAAAATAGGGCTGGGGATGTGTCTTAGTAGTTGAGTGCCCCTGAATTCAAGCTCTGGTAAGTCACCCCAAAATAAATAAATAAAATAAAATAGCGCAGATTAATCAACTCATCTATATCTGTACCTCTCAAAGTTGGACTGGGGCAAATTATTCTTTATTTTAGGCAGCTGGTCTAAGACCATTTCAAACCATGAGAACATAACAGCCACAGCCAAAACTTAAAAAGTCTAAATAACAAGTCACTTCTTCTAGTATTAAAATATATATGTATAGTTTTTCCCTCAGAATGAATTTTATCAAAAAAAACATACTACAGGGCTGTGGCTTTGGCTCAGTGGTAGAGTACTCACTTCGAATATGTGAAGTACCGGGTTAGATCYTCAGCACCACATAAAGATAAATAAATAAAATAAAAGTATTCTTTCCATCTACAACAACAACAACAAACTAGGCTGAACTGGGATGTGGTAGTGAATGCCTGTGATCCCAGCAACCTGGAGGCTGAGMTATGAGGATCACAAGCAGGTGAATCACAAGTTCAAGGCTAGCTAACAACTTAGGGAGACCTTGTCTCAAAAAAAAAAAAAGGCTAAGGATGTAGGGAAGTGTTAAAGCATCTCTGGGTTCAATTCTCAGTTCCTAAAAACAATAAAACCCCCAAACAAAACAAATACTAGGCTATAATTGCTTTATAACAAAGATAAATATGCTATTTGTATATTTTTTATTCACTWGCTATTTTCTTTTTTTAAAGAGAGAGAGAGATAGAGAGAATTTTAATATTTATTTTTTAGTTTTYGGCGGACACAACATCTTTGTTKGTATGTGGTGCTGAGGATCAAACCCAGGTCACACGCATGCCAGGTGAGCGCAATACTGCTTGAGCCACATCCCCAGCCCATTCACTAGCTATTTTAATCACTGAAGCTACATTTCATCCTAATTGTTCAAATTTTACTGAAAATTTAAAATACTGGAATTTTTTTCAAGAGAAAAAAATTTCAGATTAAGTTTATGAAGTAATTAAATTTACATGAAACTTATTCCATGATTTTTTTTTACATTCACTAAAGTTACATTTTAAAATAGTAAGGATATGTAACAATAAAKGACTCAGTAAAGGCTAACCACCTATCATATAATGAATTAAAGAATGGAATTCTGTCTAGTAAAGTAAAGAACCAAAACAAAGTCTCAGAAGAATAGAGAGAAGCCTTTGGACAAAGTTGCAAAACAAACATGTATCTACCTGCTGWGAAGACAGCTGCAGTTTTGACACCTTTGTCTTCATTTTGTATGTCCTGAAGGAATGAACCAACTGTTGACAACATCGGCCTGACTACAAATTGACAGCGCTCTCTTCTGGATGGCAAAGTCAGTGTTATCAAAGGAAGACCGTGTCTATAATGAACTGTAATTTCTGTTGAGGAAAAAAAAAAAAGATGGAAATAGAGGAATTGATAAAAGAACTTTTTAAAAAGAACTTTAAAATACAAGAATTCTAAAGAGAATCTTTAAATATATAATTTGTAAGTCTCTGAATTTGGGCTGGGGATGGTGCTGAGTGGTAAGGCACTTGCTTAGCAAGTGTGAGACCCTGAGTTCCATCCCCAGTTTTGGGGTGGGTGGGTGTGGGTGTCGGGTAGAGTSGGGGAGAGAAAAAATGAAAGGAAGATGGAAGAAAGTCTGTGAATTCCCATAAAATTGTGCCTTGCTGGGATAGCACCTTCAATGTCCTATAGTCTACACAGGCCCCACCGTTCTGTAACACCTCGCAGTACCTTGTACCACACTGGACTGTAATGATCTGCTTAATGTCTTCACATTACACAGGCAGTGTTAAGTTTTCAAGAGCGGAAACTTTCCCACTCATCTGTAACTCCTGATTGCTGGGGTGTTGGTCTGCCAAAAGACATCACTGGATACATTATGGGAACAGAACCTAGTGGTAGTGGGACAGGTACAGGARAAGTCCATTTTGCTCAAACCTCTCCACTCCCGCTTTATTTGAAGGAACGGAAATCAGTTAATGAGTCAGAGAGTGAGAGGAAAGCTTACCATCAGGTGGCTCTGCTGTGCTATAAAGGCACCGTGGGTAGGAGTTCAGATTYTCATGCATCTTCACACAAAAAACCTGTGGGAAAGATTATTTTCTTTTTTAAAAAGTTGGAAAGCTGAAATAAGTGTCTTTATTAGGAAATMATTTTAATCTTATATGATAAGCACAATAAAAAATTCAATTTCCTAAATATGCCCAGGTAAAACTTTCATTGAGAAAGCTGGGTATGGTGCACATGCCTGTAATTCCAAAGGCTTAGGAGGCTTGAGGCAGGATCATAAGTTCAAAATCAACCTAAGCAACTCAGTGAGGTCCTAAGCAACTTAAAAAGGCAGTGTCTCAAAATAAAAAATTAAAAAGCTCATGTGTGAGACAATGCAAGAAGGTTTAGAGGAGAAATAATTGGGTTATGAGAGCCTTAACCTAATCAGTACATTAATTTACTGATATGGATTAACTGGGTGGTAACTGTAGGCAGGCAGGTTTGGCTGGAGGAGGCTGGTCTTTGGGGATGTGCCTCTGGGGTACATTTTTTGTCTCTGGAGAGTAGAATACGCTGTTTCCTGGTGGCCATGCCCTAAGCTGCTTTCTTCTTCCACCACAATGTTCTGCCTCACCTTGGGCCCAGAGCAATAGAGCTGGTCATCTATGGACTGAGACCTCTGAAACCATGATTGTCAAATAACCTTTTTCTCCTCTAAAACTGTTTTTTCAAATCTTTTGATCACAGCAGAAAAAAAAAAATTGACTAAAAACAGGGTATATACACTATTAACAAAAATAAAAAAGATAATGATACTGACTCAAATGATGTTTCATTATGTTCAAAATCAAGAGTCTAATTAGTACATCAAACAAAACATTCAAATACATATTTCTAGTATTAAACACATCATAGGCAATTAGTTGCAGCAAAACATCATCTGTCACATTAATTTAAGACTGTTCATTTGAATTTTATTTCTAAAATTATAACACACTACCAAGATGAGAAAGAAAAAAGCTGACTACTTCTTAAAATAGATGCAGCTCCCAATAAATAAACATACATAAGAAGTCTCCAAGTTTGGATTATGAATATTGTGATAATCTTATTTTTAGTGAAACCACATAAAACAGAGAAATGTAGCCACTGCAAACATATCAGAATTAATTATTGAGATTAAAAAAAGTTTAATTATATAAATAATTATGCATGTATAAAAGTCAAATACAGAAACATTAGGGGGGTGGTATAAAACTAAAGCCCCTCCCTTTACTTCTCCACAATCCCACAGCTTTTTCCCCAGAGGTAGTCACTTTTAGTTAGTGGTTTGGTACATATCCTTTCAGACTTTTTTCTGTACATTACCACCTTTACATGTATTAAATCCTATGCTAGAGTCTGAATAATGCTAAAGACAGTGTGTATCATGTTCTTGGATGCTAATGATCTCTCTTTCCTAATCACAGTAGTACTCAGCTTTTACTGTGCTGGTGATGTTTCTTGGTTACTATTGAGGAAGTCATTTTAAAAGGCTCTACCTGACAACCAGAAAATGATGAAAGAAGGCACAGTGGCCAGAAAAAATAGCAGGGCTTTCTCAAGCTTTTGCTTGTCTTAAGAATCACATGGAGGTCTTGTTAAAGACAGATTCCTAGGCCCCAATCTCAGGGATTTTTTTTTTTTCCTCTAATAGGGTGATGTAGAATATCTGCAATTTTTAAAATAAGCTCCAAGGTTATACTGAAGTTTTAAGTGTAAGAACCACACTTTGAGTAGCTGGGCTGTGGTAGACCCTCCACACCCTTCAGGGCACTATGCTAAATTTCTGCATGGATTAGAATTTTGAATTCCAGATTGTAGTGTCTGGTCAACAGCTGCTGCCTTCAAATGGTATCCAGATATTAGAGCCAAAGATGACTCAGCTTCTCTTTTATCATATATCTTTGCTAAATAAAATTCTAATCATTTCACAGCTGAACTTAAAACCCCTTAGCCTTTTTTCTACTTACATAAAGTAGAAAGAACTGTGATGTTAGAATTGACATGGCAGGTTCTAAACTCAATTCAGCCACTAAACTTCTGAGAGGTCACAGATAAGTTATTTGACGTCTTTGTGCTTCTCTTTTCTCAAGGAATTGAATGGGTGTTTCAGTCTATGAGCCTACTATTTTATCATAGCATGTCATAAACTGGGTGGCTCACGTGAAACAAAAATTTATTTCTCACTGTCCTGGAGGTTGGGAAGGCAAATATCAAGGTACTGGCAGATTCAGTGTCTGGTAAGGGCCTCTTTTCGGTTCACAGATGGTGCCTTCTGTGTCCTCCCATGGTGGAAGGCACTTGGAAACTCTCTGGGGCTCTTTATAAGGGCCCTAATCTCATTCACAAGGGCTATGACTTCATGACCCAATCAACTCCCAAAAGTCTCAACTCCTAAGGCCACTAGTTTCACATATGAATTTTGGGGAATCAAAGATCCAGATRGCAATGGAAATGATAGTGTCTGTCTTACAAAGCTGATATAAAGACAAAATGAAACAAAGTACTAAGTACCAAGTACAGTTTATGAGTCCAGCAGGTACATCATGGGTCAATKACCTCCAAACCTTTGTCTGTGTCCTCAAAGGCACTTAATGCAGGAACCTGGGCCCCAGCCAAATGAACTACTTATCCATTGACTTGTTAAAGTGACTCTCTGTCCAATCCTGCCTAACAAAATCCTGTCTTTCTTTCAAAATCCAACTTTAATGTCATTTCTTCCTTCTGTATTTGATRATGGTCCTTGTAAAGAACATAGGTTTTGCAGTCAGAACCAGGCTGGAATCCCGACTTCAAGATACCCCAGTGGCTGTGATCCTTGATAGGCAGCGGTGGGCTCAGGAAGATATGGGATGTAAGAAAAAGAAGAGAATAAGTTTGGCAATGAAAAAGTGAGCCAGGGCTATCATTAGAAGAAGGTGGAAAGGAAATATTAATGTGGAAAAAAATCTCTTTGAGCTTCACTGTAAAGGAAGACAGGTGTGAGAATTTTCAGTACCAAGTCATTTATGTCAACTCCAAACAAAATGGAGCCAGAGTCCAGGAAGGGTTGCCACACACATATGCCTATGATGAAAACTGTGTAAGGAACTCCCTGACACTGCAGAATCCCACATGAACTACTTTAACGAGGACACTTGCCTGACAATGGCCGTCTCTATCAATGAGCTGACCCTGATTCTTGCAACAAGCCCCTGCAACTAAAGATCTTTGTTTCAAAATGGCCTGTGCATATTTCTCCTTTTTGTCTTTAAAAAGAGTGCCCCTTTTGCCTCACCTCCCTTGGTCTGCCATAGCATGTGTATCCTGGATCGCCATGCCTTTCAATCCCAAATACTCTTTGCTTTGGAGAGTCAGTTGGTCTGTCATTTATTTTAGGCTGACAGAGGCATTAGTAGAGAGATGTATAACGGTCACATGTTGGGGCCAATGACGAAGATTTTGATTGGCTTCTAGATCTATATCATATTCTTAAAATTTATTTATTTATGTATTTTGGGGAATAAATAAATAAATAAATAAATAAATAAATTTTATACTGGGGAACTGAACTCAAGGGCACTTTACCAACTATCTTCCCAGCCCTTTCTATGTTTTATTTTGAGATAGGGTCTCACTAAGTTGCCAAGGCTGGTCTCAAACTTGTTGTCCTTCTGCCTCAGCCTCCTGAGTCACCACGAGTACAGGCATGCACTACCATGCTCTGCTCTACATTGTATTTTAGATCAGACGTCTTGTTTATTAATTAAAGATACAATTTCCACTTAAGATGGTGGGTAAGTACATGCTCTGAAWAGACATTAATGTGACCTCAAGGCCAAAAGCAAAAGAGAAACACAGTGGAAAGCAAAACTCAAGTGAAAGTTCAGTTGGGTTCTTGTTTCTACAGAAAAATATGTTTCAATGGAAAATTCTGCATTGTCCACAGCACAGCTTTCCAGGTTTTCAAATCCCACCCTTCTTTATCAGCTTAGAGCCATTTTGCAACTATTTGTAAACTACAGGTAACTGATAAGTTTGTAAATCCTAGACAGTCTGGTAATGATGTAACTGACTTTCCTTTTGTGGAAACACCAATTTTATCTCTATTTACAGTTCTCCTTAACATTCCTATCTCCATATGAATTTCTATTGTTTTTAATTTTTCCTTTTAACCAGACAGACTATCTATCTGGCTTCTTCATATCATAACTGTAGAATAAATTCTTTAATCCATGTTCATTTTTATATTACTGGCACAATAATAAATAAATATCTGATGCCTGAAATCCCAGTTACTCAGGAGGATGAGGCAGGAGGATTCCAAGTTCAAGGCCAGCGTGGGCAACTTCATGAGACCCTGTCTCAAAATAAAAAATAAAAAGGGCTGTGAAGTTCAGTGGTAGTAGTGCCCCTAGTGCATTCCTTAGTACCACAGATAAAATAAATTTATCTTGTCCTCAGTTCCTGGCAAAGAGTCTGTAAGATGTTTGTAATTTCCTCGGTGCTTGGAGCCTCTTGTGTTCTAATGAGGCAACTCTTATTGGGATCCGAGGTAGCTTTCAGGATGGGGGCTGGCTGCCAGAAAAACCAAGCCTTGATTAGAAACCTCAAACTTTCAGTTCTACTCCCCCAACTTTTAAAAGGGAAAGAGGTTGGAAATTGAGTCAATATATCTCTAATATCTTTGTGATAAAACCCACATAAAAGCCCCTTAGATATCAAGGGTGAGAGGACTTCTGGGTTGAACACTCCATGTGCTAGGGAGTGGGTACCTTGCCTCACAGCACAGAGACTCCTGGGCTCGGGCCCTTCTGGACCTCATCTTAACTACCTCTTCATCGGGCTGTTCATTTGTAATTCTTCATAATATCCTTTATGACAAACCAAAAAATGTACGAGAAGTATTTTCCTGTGTCCTGTGAACTGTTGTAGCAAATGATTGAGCCTAAGAAGAGACACATGGTTCACAGCCATGGGTCTGGAGTATAAGAGACCCAGGACTTGGGATTGGCTTCTGAAATGGGGACAGCTTAGTGGCACTGAGTCTTCATCTGTGGGATCTGATGCC